GAAATCTGTGAAGTCTCTTTTCAAATTAAGACCAGACTCACCTTGCTATGACATCACCCTGACTGTGCCCGTGTTAAAGGACGCATCTCACAAGTCACATATTTGAAAGACACAACATAAACGAAGTTGCACTGATTACCTGCCTTTAAGCTGGATGAAACAGAAGGTGGTACATCTTTTCTTCGGTTTTGATGCAAATCTACTGCCTCCTAGTGATCACTTTTAAAACGGCAGGACTCAGGGGGTTGGTTTGCTTTTAGCTTGGCTATGTTGAACCGTATGTGTATACCACAACACAGAACTAAATGCTTGGCAATCTGTAGGTTAAATACCTGATGAATTTATGCTTTGAAAAATCCACAGTTGCAAGAACTGGGTTGGAAGTCCCCAAAATGGCTTCCAGTCCCTCATCTGCTGTTACCAGTTTTATGGCTTTGAGTCAGAAAAATTAATCTATGGGCCCTTTCTGATTCCAAAGTCCTAGGAGAGGCTCTGTAAGGTAGAGGCTGGGACATGACTTTAGGGCAAGTTCCTCCACTGCTCTGAATTTTAGTATCCTGACAATTAAGAGGAGAAAGGAATACGGGTCAGGTGGTGGCTGTGCCTGTAAAGGCAGTTATCACAGAACACGAGAACTTTCCCTCTCAGCCATGTCTCTTGGACAAAGATCCTTCGTCTGCCAGCTAACATCAGTTACTCCCTCCTCTCCCCAAACCAAGGCAACAAAGACATCAGCAGCTCAGAAAGCAAAGTACGTTTCTTGGGAGTATCAGCTAAGTGGAACAGTATATTTGAATAATTTAATTCAAAAAATGAGTAAAGATAAAGCTTGCATAAGCAGGGATTTTACAAATTATGAATCACTTGAAACTTGGAATTGCTTATTATGTTTTTTAAATTATATTTTATTTATTTGAAAGAGAGAGATCTTCCACCGCTGGTTCACTCCCCAAGTGCCTGCAACAGCTGGGCTGGGCCAGGCTGAAGCCAGGAGCCTGGAACTCCATCTGGATCTCCCAGGCGGGTGGCAGGAGCCCGAGTGCTGAGCCACCATGGGCTGCAGCTCGTGGTGCACACTGCCAGGAAACTGGAACTGGAAGAGGAGCCCGGATTTGAACCCAGGCACTCCAAAATGGGATCTGGGTTTCTTAATCACCACCCCTGCTTTTATTTTAAAATGATAAATAGTGACAGGGGTGTCAAGAGTGACTGCTCAGGGCTGGTACTATGGTGTAGCAGGTAAAGCTTCGGCCCTCAGTGCTGGCATGTCATATGGGTGCTGGTTCGAGTCCTAGCTGCTCCACTTCTGATCAAGCTCTCTGCTTTGGCCTGGAAAGCAGTAGAAGGCCAAGTGCTTGGGCCCCTGCACATATGTGGCAGAAGCTCCTGGCTCTTGCCTTTGGATTGGCTCAGCTCCTGCCATGGTGGCAATTTGGGGAGTGAACCAGCAGATGGAAGACCCCTCTCTCCGTCTCTGCCTCTCTGTAACTTTTTCAAGTAAATAAATAAATATTTAAAAAAAGGTAACTCCTCTATGCGATCCTCTCGCCCCTGGCACCTTACAGGTGTCTGATACACTTAATATATGCCAGTTAGCACAATGCCAGCCAGAGAAAATATAATTTTTCCATTTTCCCAAAAATTAACGTACAGGTTTGCACCAACTTCGGTTTTATTGCACAGGTTAGAGAACCAGTGTGCCTAGCCAGTGAACACAGATCAACAGCATCTGAAACTAAAGAGTTCCTACTACTACTTTCCTTCTTCACCCATTAGGATATTTCCTTAGGATGTCAACGCATCTGCATGAACCGTTTCAGCCGTCACTGTCCATGCAGATGTTTTGGCATTGCTCACATGTTTTTTTTTAAAGTTGTACTGAGGTATAACTCGGATGTCACAGAACACAGCTGTTAAAGCGTACAGTTCTGTGAGTCTCACCAAATGCACACAGTTGCCCAGCCATTACCACAATCCAGCTTGAGAACAATTCCATCATAGACTTTGCATTTGACTACTGCTGTCTGCAGAGACATGGATGTCTGACCTGTGCATTTAAACCATCCAGACCTGGATCAAGGCGTTCATTCTGAATACATCAAGCCTCCAGGAAAAGCAAACTCAAATGCTCAGTTTTACTTAAGACAGGGGTCCATAAAGCACATCTCCAGAGCTATCTTCAGTGGTCTTAGCTAATGAACAAAATATATTTAAAATAAACACACACACATATATACATATGCCTATATTTTGAAAGCCATATATTGTAAAATTCATTATCGTTCATGCCAATAAGCAGATGAATTGATGTTAAAAATGTTTCCAATTATTCTCTTTTACTCAATGTAAAACTGTTCATTTTTTCTGTTTTCATAAATATGGTTCAGTGGGATAAGCTGTCCAAGGACTACACATTTTGATCCAGCAGATCTCCAATTTATGGAAGTATTTCCCCTCTCCTCTCTGTAATTTGGCTGTGCACAATTTTGTGGAGTTGGGCCTGGCCTGGGTGAGTACTTGCAGAGGTAGGGCTTCTTCCTTAATGGCACATCTCAAGGCCCTGATTTTGTCTTGTTTCAAAAATCACATTATTCAAGAAAGAATTATCATGCCCATCTTTCAGTAAACCCAGCATTTATGACCCATCTTCCCAGTAGAGTACCTATTAAAGACACACACAAAAACCTTTCAATTCAGGACTAGCTAGTAGCAGATAAACCTCTGCTTGCATCCCATATGGGCCCTGGTTTGAGTCCCAGCTTTGGGCACCTGCATCCACTAAGAGACCCAGATGAATCTCCTGGCCGCTGGCCATTGCAGCCATTTGGGAGTGAACCAGTGGATGGAAGGTCTCTCTTTCTGCCTCTTCTTCTAACTCTGCCTTTCAAATAAATACATTTTTTTTAAATCTTTCAATTACAATCTTGAAATAATGAAAAGTGTCTACCTGTTTGTTTTTGCATCTATCTTGCTTTTTTAAAGATTTATTTGAAAGTCAGAGTTACACATAGAGAGGCAGAGAGAGGTCTTCCATCCGCTGGTTCACTCCCCAGTTGGCCGCAATGGCCGGAGCTGCGCCGATCCGAAGCCAGGAGCCAGGAGCTTCTTCCGGGTCTCCCATGTGGGTGCAGGGTCCCAAGGACCTGGGCCATCCTCCACTGCTTTCCCAGGCCATAGCAGAGAGCTGGATTGGAAGTGGTGCAGCTGGGTCTCGAACTGGTGCCCATATGGGATGCTGGCACTGCAGGCCAGGGCGTTAACCTGCTGCGTCATCGTGCCAGACCCTACCCACGAGTATTTCAAATGGAGTTATCACCACAAACTAACCCTTTACTTTTGGAAATTTCAGACATATCTTTTTCTAGCTCGACAAGGTTTACTGCTAACTATTCATTCTGATATCTAAATAGGATTTTATTTTTTGCTCATTTAAGTGTCATTTTAAGTGTTCAAGATGTGCTAGTTCAGTGTCCCCCAAATAACTAAGTAAGCTCTCTGTGGTTAGAATAGCTTCATGCAACTGTGAGTAAATTAATTTTATATTTTCAAGCGCCTGCTCCACAGTGGCACATGAAAGCTATCTGTAAGTCCTGTTTAATTAATCAGTGATGCTCAGGTTTGTCTTCCCCGCTCCAGACGCCCGTACATTGACCCCACATAGCCCACAGTTCCTAGACATTGCAAATTTGCTGTCCTACTTGTTTCCCTAAGAACAGTGCCACGAGCCACTCATGTATCTGCTACACCTGGTCCTCAATAGCTGTGCTATGAAGCCATCTCTACTGCAAGAAGGCTCTGGCATCGACTTCTCCTTTTTTGGTTAATGGATACATTTTAATACAATTTTAAACTGTCTTCTTTTACGCCCATTCTCGGGTCTTAAAATTAAGGAAGCATACTAGAGTAAATGTGACGATCCAAAACGCACAAGGCAAAACCGAATTTCCCCTCCGCTGTTCCCAGTCCACACAGGAGGCCCTGAGCCTGTGCACCTGTCCAAACAGCGCCCATCACTAGCCCTCTGACCCTGGGGGAGTCTGTCAAAGCTCTGCGGATCTCGGGATCGCAAGTAAACGGCTGCGCAGCCCCCCAGAGGGTGGAGCGAGACAGCCGCGCAGATGTGAGCACCAGCGGGACGCGTCTGCTCCATTAGACTATGCAATTGGCCCCTGCTCCCGCCTCCAGCACCGCAGATTCGCCGGTTCCGCCTGCAGGGCTGCTTCTCCAGGCAGCCCCTCGCCAGTGACCGGCACAAGGCCAGGGGAGCCCACGAGCGCCAGCCCCGGCTGACAGACTGCAGAGTTCGAAGCTCCCAGCGGCTTGGGCCGGGTGCTCCCTCCAGGGCCGGCCTCTAAGTCTTACACGTAAACCACAAAACCCCTCTCCCTCCACGCTCAAGACCCGCAAGCGGAAGCTTCCCTTTCCGCCGGAGCCCCGCCAGCCTCCAGCTCTAACCACGCCCCAGCCGGCAGTTTAGATCCAGACAGGTCCTCTACGTCCTCTAGATTTGATTTCGACGCCCGCCAATCCAGCTGGCGGCCGTGATTGGCTGGAGGTGGGCGACTGTCCTATGTGATTGGCTGACAATAGCTAGGGCAGGGACTAAGGCCGTGGGCCGTGAATTATGGAGGCTCCGCCTGCAGGGGGGTGAATGATGATTGGTTCCTGGATGGAGAGGGCGGAGTAAAAGGCGGAAGTAGGGGCTGGAGGTGGGGTTTCGGGGAAGAGCAGAGCAGGGGCGTGATGGAGGTAGTTAAGTGCCCGGAGCACGGTAAGGCATCCAGGGCTTGCGTCCGTCGGGCCCGTGGACCCAGCGCGGCGTAACCGTTGTTAACCTTCTTGTTTCCCCAGGGACTTTGTGCTTTCTGAAGACCGGCGTCCGCGATGGCCCTAATAAGGGAAAGAGCTTCTACGTGTGCCGAACGGACACGTGCGGCTTCGCGCGGGCAACCGAGTAGGTCTCGAGCGGGGCGCCGTTCCCTGCGATCCCCGGAGCCCCCCGGGAGGAGCTGCCAGCCGCTGCCGTGCGGGGACTGGGAGTGGCGGCGCCCCTGGTCCGCGGGGCCAGGACCCTTCAGGCCTTTGGTGACCCCAGGCTGAAGCTGTAGGCTCATCCCGGCCCTGTCGCCGAGGGTGGCTTCTCTCTGGGCCGCGGATTCCCCGTCTGTGAAATGGAGGGTCCACTGTATTTGGAAACCCTCAGTCTCTTCCGGATCTGGGTTTCTGTTCACCTGTCAGTCCTGAGCCACGCCCTTCTGTTGGACACCCCCCTCCCCCATCCCCTTCCCGGAGTGAGGACCTACGGTGGGCATCGTGCAAAATTATTTGTGCTGTTTTATACTAATTTAAGGGCCGGCCAGCTTTTTGATGTTCTTTTTTCAATGTTTAAGTTGCAACACTGCTGTTCAGATTGTCAACCTTTTTTTTTTTTAATAGAATGAATCCAAATGGTGAGATTAGTAATCCAAGGAAACATTGTCATTTGAGTGGTTAACGTTGAAAGAAGACCTGATTCAGCACTCTAGTTTTGCAGACTTGAAAGCTAAGACCCAGAGATGATAAAAGTCTTCTTCTTCTTCTTTTTTTTTTTTTTGTAAGATTTTTGTAAGATTAATTTGAAAAGTGGAATTACAGAGGGAGAAAGGCAGAAGCAGAGAGAAAGAGAGGGATCTTCCATCTGCTGGTTCACTCCCCACATGGCTGAACATCCAGGGCTTGGCCAGGCGGAAGCTGGGAGCCAGGAGCTTCATCTGGGTCGCCCGTGTCGGGGCAGGGACCCAAGCACTTGGGCAGTCTTCTGTTGCTGTCCCAGGTGCATTAGTAGAGGGCTGGATTGGAAGTGGAGCAGCCGAGATCAAACTGGCACCCATATGGGATGCTGGCAGTGCAGGCAGTGGCTTAACCTGCTACACCAGAGCGCCGGCCCCAAAACGTCTTCTCTACAGTGAGAAAAGTTAATACTAGGCTCATCAGCTGAGATATTTTACAGGATCAGTGGCTACATTCTCTGTGTGAAGCTAAAGCTATCGCATCAGTAAACATTTTTTTCCTGCTCTCTATTCAGCTGAGTAGTTATTTGCTCCTTATTATGTGTACAGAACCCACGGATATTAGTACTAGAAAGTAAATATCTTTTCAGTAGGTTTAACTTCTGATGATTCCTTTATGATTTGTACCTTTGTTTTGCTTTGAAACTGAGTGAAGATTTTTGCATCCCATTTCAGATCTAGAAAGTAAGTTTTAGAGAAAATGTTTTCTTAGACTTCAAATACATATTTTATTTGAAAAAAATTAAGTGGGATCCATTTTAATTAAATTCAAGATGATTTTTGAGTAAAGCAGTATCACATCTTAAAAGGGAGAGAGAGAGGGAGGGACATACTCAATGGGGCCGTGGCTGTGACATAGTGGGTAAAGCTGCCGCCTGCAGTGCTGGCATCCCATATGGGCGCCAGTTTAAGACCTGGCTGCTCCACTTCTGATCCAGCTCTCTGCTATGGCCTGAGAAGGCAGTAGAAGATGGCCCAAGCCCTTGGACCCCTGCACCCACTTGGTGAAAGAACCTCCTGGCTCCTGGCTTCAGATCGGCGCAGCTCCAGCCGTTGTGGCCAATTGGGGAGTGAACCAGCGGATGAAAGATCTCTCTGTTTCTCTGCCTCTCCTTCTCTCTCTGTGTAACTCTGACTTTCAAATAAATAAATCTTTTTTAAAAAAAAAACATACTCAAGCTATCTAGAGCAACAATGTATCAGCATATCAGGGCTTAGTATCTATTCTTTTTAAAAAGATTTATTTATTTAAAAGGCAGAGTTACAGAGAGGCAAAGAGAGAGAGAGGCTTTTCATCTGCTGGTTCACTCCCCAAATGGCTGCAATGGCCAGAGCTGCACTGATCCGAAGCCAGGAGCCAGGAGCTTCTTCCAGGTCTCCCAGGTGGGTGCAGGGGCCCAAGGACCTGGGGCCGTCTTCTGCTTTCCCAGGCCACAGCAGAGAGCTGGATCGGATGTGGAGCAACTGAACTGGAACCAGTGCCAATTTGGGATGCCGGCACTGCAGGCGGCAGCCCCAAGATTTATTTCTAATATTTCAGAGCCTCTTAGCTTTAGTACCCAGCTCAAGTTTTATGAGATGAACATGTTCAGGTGCACAGAAAGTAAGCGTTGATGGTGGCATAAGGCTTTTACATCAAGAGAAACATACTGTCAGGGCCTGACTTTCTTCCAAAGATCAGTGTCCCCCTCCTCTGGTAAAGCATGGCAATAAATATCTTTTTCTTAATGACTCGGTCATTTAAAACTACATTGAAATGGACCTCTACCCAGAGACATTCATGTAAATGTACAGCTATACCAGCATACAGTAGTACTTCATTTGATGGCGATTATTTGATGAACGACTTACTTGGCATATGTCTGGTAAGCAGAATTATATAGGCTGGCCGGCGCCGCAGCTCACTAGGCTAATCCTCCGCCTTGCGGTGCCGGCACACCGGGTTCTAGTCCCGGTCGGGGCGCCGGATTCTGTCCCGGTTGCCCCTCTTCCAGGCCAACTCTCTGCTGTGGCCCGGGAAGGCAGTGGAGGATGGCCCAAGTACTTGGGCCCTGCACCCCATGGGAGACCAGGAGAAGCACCTGGCTCCTGCCTTCGGATCAGTGTGGCACGCTGGCCACGGTGGCCATTGGAGGGTGAACCAACGGCAAAAGGAAGACCTTTCTCTCTGTCTCTCTCATTCACTGTCCACTCTGCCTGTCAAAAAATAAAAATAAAAAAAAAATTATATAGGCTAAGAAATGCATCCCAGGTTATGGGCGAGCACTCAAACTTGCTCTCCAATGGTCTGCATATGTCAAGTTGGGAGGCAGTAGTTATAAATCACCTAAGCCAGAAGCAGGTTAGTATTGTTAGAAGGAGGCAGGAGAATAGCACTGAGCGGCAGCTAAGGGGTCGTGAAGGAGAAAGGGGAGGGGAGGGGCCTGAGGAGAATCACGTGAGGCCTCACCGCAGCCTTGCTGCCAGAGTTATTCCTGGGGATGTCACTCTGCAGTCTCGGATTCCTGAGTCAATAAGGAAAAGGTGTTTGTGGGCCTGTTCCAGCTGAGGCAATGAGAAAGGATGGAAGAGAGGGGCCCTGCCCTCCACAGACACCACTGTGGCACCTGCCAGCCTTACCTAGCCTCTTGGTTTAAACCCAGAGGGTGTTGAAACCTATCCTCTGCCTCCTAAAACAACATGTTTTCCTCCCCCCCACCCCTTCTAGCGTTCCTGTTTCTCATTGTTTATTGCATGAGGACTTCATGGTGGAACTTCAGGGTTTGTTCTCATCACAAGACAAGAAAGACTACAGGTAAGTGTCCAAAGGGAGTATCTACGTGCATTTGCTTTTTTTTTAATACCCTGAAATATTTGCAGTTGGGGATGTTTTAGGATTTTTCTTCAAAAGTCATTACAAACCAATGTTTTTACATGTATTGAGTTATCTTCTGGACTGTCACTCCCTAGCTTCTGGGCGACTAGTTAATTTGAGAAGCTTGATCTCTGGTTAATTTCTGGGTAAATAGCTCCAGTGTGGTCAACCTCTCAAGTAATTAGTAGTGTCAAACCACCAAGAGCAACTAACTTGCCAGCTTTCAAATTCTCGTAATAGAACAGAGGAAATGTGTAAAAAGGTCTAACATATGTTAAGGACTCAATAAACCTTAGGAGTGGGCTTTTTTTTTTTTTAAAGATTTATTTTATTTTATTGTAAGACAGAGTTACAGAGAGAGGTAGAGTAGAGAGAGAGAGGTCTTCCATCCGCTGGTTCACTCCCCAGATGGCCACAACGGCTGGAGCTGTGCCAGTCCGAAGCCAGGAGCTTCCTCCGGGTCCCCAGCATGGGCACAGGGGCCCAAGGACACGGGCCATCCTGTACTGCTATCCCAGGCCACAGCAGAGAGCTGGATCAGAAGAGGAGCAGCCGGGATTAGAACCGGTGCCCATATGGGACGCCAGCGCTCCAGGCCAGGGCTTTAACCCACTGTGTCACAGCGCCGGCCCCAGGAGTGGGCATTTGGCACCATGGATTAAGCTACTGCTTGGGATACCAACATCCTAGGTTGGAGACTCAGCTACTCCACTTCAGATCAGCTTCCTGTTAACGCAATCCCAGGAATTAGCCTAGATGGCTCAAGTGGCTGGCGGCCCTGTCACCCTCTCAGGGAGACCTGGATGGAGTTCTGGTCTCTTGGCTTTGGCTTGGTGCAGGCCTGGCCATTGTGGGCATTTGAAGAGTGAACTGGCATATGGAAGATTCTCTCTCTCCCTCTCCCTCTGCCTCTTCCTCCCTTTCCTCTCCTCTCCCCCACCTCTTCTGCCTTTCAAATAAAATGAAAACAAATGCAAATTTAAAGAAAACAAAAAGTTGCTTTCCTCTCCTTTATAGGGAACTCAGGGCAGGGAACTGTATATGGATAAAATAAGCTATTTGTCACACGTATGGAAAGATACGTAGGAAAATCAGTAGGAGTTACAGAAGGATCATCTTGTACTAATTTGCGTGTGTGCACATATTTAGTTGTTTTTATATGTGTGGTTTCATGTACCTACCACGGCAGACACTCATTCCCACAGTCCCTGACGCCCCCTCCTCACCCCTGGCACCCATGAATCTGGTTTCTGTTTCTGAACTTTTTGCCATTTCAAAATTGTTACATAAATGGAATCATACAGTGTAAATTTTTGGATTTTTACCAATTAAAGTTTGGAAGAATCCTTTGTATATTCTCTATACAAGTTGCTCAGCAGATATTTGTATTGTGAATATTTTCTGCCAGTCTGTGGTTTTCATTTTCTTAACTGGTTTGGAAAAGACGTTTCTAATTTTTATGAAGTCCAAGTTACCATTTTTTTATAGTCTGCAATTTTTTTTTTCTGAGAAATTTTTGCCCACCCCAAAGATCACAGTATCTCCAGTGGATCCCCCAGAAACTTTATAGATTTTTGTGTTTTCAGATGACTTTTTCGTTCAGACTCATGTACCTTGTATTAACTGTGTGTACTGTATGAGGTAGAAGTTCATTTATTTTCCACATGTTGTCCAATTGTTGCAGCGCTGATTTTGAAGATCTTTCTTTTCCCTTTGAAATACATGAGATCTTTGTAAAAAGGCAGTTGATCGTATATGTGTGTCTGTTTTGGGGATTGATGATCTGTTCCATTTGATCTGTTTGCCTATCCTAATACAGTTAATCAGATAAAATAGTGTGAATCCTCCAACTTTATTCTTTTTTAAGATTATGTTAGCTATTCTGGAATTTTTGTTTAAAGATTTATATATTTGTTTGAAAGAGTGACAGAGAAAGAGCAGGGAGGGGGAACAGAGAAAGAGATCTTCATTTTCTGTTACACTCCCCAAATGTCTGCAATAGCCAGGATAGGGCCAGGCGCTAAGCCAGGAGCCTGAAACTCCATCCAGGTCTCCCACGTGGGTGGCGGAGGCTCAGGTATGGGGGCCATCTTCCACTGCCTTCCCAGGCACATTAACAGGAGACTGGAATGGAAATGGAGCAGCCAGGGTTCACACTGGTGTCCACATGGGATGCCTTCATCACAACTGGAGGCTTAATCTGCTGTACCACAATACTGGCCCCAAAAGAATAGACTTTTTTTTTTTTTTTTAAGATTTATTTATTTATTTGAAAGGCAGAGTTAGAGAGGAAGAGAGAGATCTTCCATTCACTGGTTAACTCCCCAAATGGCTGCAACAGCTGGAGTTCTGATGTGAAACCAGGAGCTTCTTCCATGTCTCCCAAGTGGGTGCAGGGGCCCAAGCACTTGGACCATCTTCTGCTGCTTTCCTTGGTACGTTAGCAGGGAGCTGGCTCAGAAGTGGAGTAACCAGGACTCAAACTGGCACCCATGTGGGATGCTGGTGTCGCATGCTGCAGCTTTACTCACTACACCACAGCACTGGTCCCCAAATAAATACATTTTTGAAAAAAAAAATTCTCCATACTAAATATATAAGGCTGAGAGATGATCAGTGTCATAAAATAGAAAAAAAAAAAGCATATACTAAATATATTTCTTTCATCCCAAACCTAGAACACTTTTAGTATTGGAGCTTTGAAAATGTTGTTTTAGGGCAAATAAAATGCAGTTCTCAACATATAAGCAAACATGTACCCTGATAGGTGGGGATTTAAGCAGAAAAAAATCAGCTTAGGAATAATCTTCCTCGGCAGACAGTAAGGGCACTCAGCCGGAACCCTTGTACTGTGGACAGTGACCTCAGGGAGTTTATGGGCGTTTGTGGGTTTTTGAATAGATTTACATTCTCTAATTAATACTATTATGTTTGGCTTACAGCTAGGAGATGGTGCAGCAGAATAATGGGGGCGGTGAGATGTAAATCAAAGCTAAGGGACCCACTTGTTTAAGCCTTGCCGCATTCACGTAGATGTACTTCTCCAGCTGAAACACCAGATGGCAGCACTCACCAGCATTTGGCCAGCTCTGTCAGACATGGCCCTCTGTGCATGGGCAATGACATAAGCGTGACAGTCTTGGCAGAACCAGAGAGAAGCAACTGACGGGAATGATGTGGTGCACCCTGGCTGCACACATTAGGTATTGTCGTCCGTTGCCGAGTTCCTGTTCTCTCTTCTGTCTCAGAGCTCTTGTTTTCTAGATACGGGGCCTATGAATGTTTAAAGCACGTTTTAGTTCTTTTTATCTTTATTTTATTTTATTTGAAAAACAGAGACAGACATCCTCTGGCCTGTTTCTCAAATGTCTGCAACAGCTGGCGCTGGGCCAGGCTGTAACTACAAGCCTGCAGCTCAGTCCAGGTCTCCCTTTAGGATGGCAGGGACCCAGCGTCTTGCGTCATCACTGCTGCCTCCCAGGGTGGACGTCTGCAGAGAGCTGACATTGGGAGCAGAGCCGGCGCTCAAACCCAGGCCCTCCAGAGCGGCATGCAGGCATCCTAAGCCACATCCCTACTGCTGTGCCAGACATCCAGTTCATATTTTAGTCTTCTAAATAGTTGTGGGATATTAAAAATATTTATTTTTAAATTACTGTGTTTTATTTATATACTTTAAAAGATTTATTTGAAAGTCAGAGTTACAGAGAGAAAGGGGGAGACAGAGAGAGATCTTCCATCTGTTGATTTACTCCCCAGATGGCTGCAGTGTCAGGGCTGAGGCAGGCCGAAGCCAGGAGCTTCATGCTGGGCTCCCACTTAGGTGGCAGGGGCCTACATGCTCTGGCCATCCTCCACTGCTTTTCCTAGGCCATTAGCAGGGAGCTGGATCAGAAGTGGAACAGCTGTGGCTTTACCCACTATGTCACAACGCAGCTCCCTTAATTTTTTTTTTTTTTTTGAGAAATAATAAGAAAGGAAAAGGGCAAAGAAGAGAGATCGAGAAAGTGATAGAGACCCCTGTCCACTGGTTCACTCCCCAAACGCCCACCAGGCCAAAGACAGAAACCAGGAACTCAATCCAGGTCTCCCACGTGGGTGGCAAGAACCCAACTACTCGAGTCATCACTATGGCCTCCCAGGGTCTGCATTAGCTAGAATTAGGAGCCAGAGCCAGGAACCAGAGCCCAGGGTCTCCACCGTGGGACACAGGCTTCCCAGCTGATGTCTTAACCGTTAGGCCCAAATCCCACCCCTAAATAGTTTATTTTTAATAGCACATGAATTCTTGTATGTCTAGAAAACTTGTGTTGTCGCTCACTGGGTGAAATTGGCATGCAGATTATCTAGCCCCAGTGTCATCGGTTGATGATGGAAAGGCATCTGGGCATGAACCAGACCTGTGCAGAAGGTCCTTGGCCCCGCCAAGCTGTGAAGAACTCCAGTTAATAAAGCCAGGACTTGGTGGTGTGGAGTGTCATGGACTGGGCTGTGAGTGGATGAAATCCTTGTGCATAAGGATGTTAGCCCTTCATCTTGTGTATGGCAGTTACTTCTTCCCAGCTGCATTTTGCCTTATAATTTTGCTTATAGTATTTTTACTACATGGACATTTACAACTTTTATGTAGTTAAAATTACCAGATTCCTTACCTTAGCTTCAGAGTTTTATGTCATACTAAGAAAAGCCTTCACTTTAGATTTACAAAAATATTCATCTCATCTCTTTTGTCCCTAGAGTACTTATTTATATGAAAGGGAGAGGGAGAGAGGAAAAGAGGGAGGGAGAGGGAGAAGGAGAGAGAGAGAGAGATATCTTCCAGTTAATTGATTCATTCCTCAAATGGCCACAACAACTGGGCCTGGGCCAGGCCAAAGCTGAGAGCCAGGAACTCAGTTCAAGTCTCCGATGTGGAGTGATAGGGACCCAAGTGCTTCAGC